ATATTTTTAAAAAACTCATCTTACAGCCATTCCGTTTCGTGACTACCTATTCCTTGAAGAGACAGCAAATGTTTCTTCTTTTGTGATACATGACGGACAGTTTTCCTCGGACATGCTGGTGACATGGCGATTTCTCAAGCTTTTGTTTATGGGAAGGGGGTACAAGTGAGGTAAAATATAAAAATCGATTTCTGGCACACACACACACACACTTAGAGGGTAATATTTTTACGAGAAAAAGCGTTGCAACTTACTCGGAAACTACGTCATGGCTAAACTGAATTGCGCATAAAAAATAGGTGATTTCAAAATCCACGAATAAATATTATATGCTATTTTCTCACCACGAACTAATGGCTGCTCACTCTAATTTGGCTGTCTAGAACGAAAGCGTTCATCACAAGCCCCATTGGGAGTGTAAAAAACCAATGCCTTGCGCGTGAGATAATTGATAGTGAAGTGGACATTTTCCGCGTCAATCCCAATCAACCCTCCCTCATCTATTTAGTTCGATGGCATGACAACGTCGAAACGACCGGAGGGGGTAGCGGACGCAGTGGGTGACAAGGCTAAAGAGTCTCTCTACGCGTGCCTCACACGACCCCGCCCTCCTGTGCGATGTGCCGCGAGCGGCGGCTGGGATCTCACAATGAGAAGGAACCATGGCAGTTTGACTCATCATTCTGAGAGGAGGACTGAGCTATACCGTTTGTTGGCAGACTTCGAAGCCTCGACTATTAACGTGTCCTAACGGTTCAGTGCGCGTCCGATTTACTTTTCTGAGGAATGCGCTGATTGGCCGTGAGTATAGGACATCCCACATGTCAGCCTCAGTCTACGGTAGGCGGGCTAACTCATGAAATGTCAACCGAAATGAGCTTTCGTTTAGAAGTAGGATTGTAAATCTAGTCAGCCTGCAGTATAATTCTATAATAATTCAGTTACCTCAGGATGCTGGCTTTTGAAAGAACTTCCTTCCGGTTGCATGCAGGAAATACGCTCTGTAAAAATGACTGCATACGTATCAGGCACTTTTCTCAATGATTTTTGATGTCCTTAAACATTTAAACACATGCATAATAATATCCATTCGTTTGCTCATTTGGTAGACGATTACGCCCTCTCTCAATTTTATACTCAATGAAAGAGTATAATTCGGTTTTAAAATATTTTCCAATTGTCACAGAAGGTAAGCCTAAATTCTAAAATGTTTTTCCGCTTTGAAAGGACCACTTAGGTAGGGCTGTGATATCTACTGGCATGCACCATAATTCCACGATATTACGGTCACACCAGGATACGCCTAATTTTGGCCGCCCGCAAAGACCACACGCGGTGACAAATGGAAACTTTATTGGCATGGATTTTTTTCGTGGATTTCCAATCCAAATCCAAACATATCCAAAAATATCCCCTTTGTACACATTTGATAACAAATATTAAATTTGTACTCAAAAAGGCATCATTTCGATTTGAAAAATTTTCTTAAACCTGCCATAAACACCAATTAATAAAGTGTGAAGTGGTAGTAATTGTACCCGTTATAGATAGATTACTTGAAAAATTTCGTGTGGGCAGTCACTTTGCTGCATCAGTATCGGGGACACCATACACTGCGGAAAGCTGGACGGGTGATGTAACTTAAATGCCATTAAATCCAATGAGATCTCGTGTCTCTGGTGGTTAGAGTGTAGGCTGCACTCTAGCCTTGGCCCTGCCTACGTGGGTTGGAATCCCACAGAGGTCACAAACGCTTTCAAAATCGGGTCAAATAAACGAAACCTCAAAAATTTGCAACATCGCCTGCCCTTGTGCCCACGCTCAGGGTAGCTAAAATTCAAGTGCTTCACTGTCCATAAAAGGGAACTCATAGATCCCGCCATGCTATTGCACCGTTACGCTATATGACTTATGAAGGTTTGCAGTGGATATGGATCATATTGTATGCTTTATAAGGATCTTAGCAAGACACGGTTACAGTGAGTGACCGATCTCATGAAAGGTTAACCAAAATTCTGAAATGCGTTTTCGATCAGTAAGGAATACTTATGTGGGGCTGTAATAATGATTACCGGGATGTGTCGGGGATGTTGGCTTTTAAACGCATTTGTTTTCAATCTCCTGTAGAAACCGTGCTCCGTAAAAAAAGGGACTACTTTAATACCAGGCATTTTTCCCAGTAAGTTTTGATGGCCATAGAAATAAAAAATATATTTTATAAAAAACATGAATGAAAATATGCTTTTTTCACTCGTTCGATAGAGAATCACGTGATTTTTATATTTATACTCGACAGAAGAGTATAAGTGGGTTTTAAAAAGTTTGTAGATATAAGATATGTAGATATTTGAAGAAGAAGAAGAAGAAGAAGAAGAACAGTCGAGCACCGGAACAATTCGTTTATTATCCTGAGCTTTCAGACTCGTACAGGAGTCCATCGTCAGAGGTAGTGGCAGAAACAGGACAAGCGGCAGTTATAAGGCACGTAGACCCAATCATCGACCGACGTCACACGACTGGAGGTGACTACGAAGGGCTCTGTACGCCGGCGCCAGATCGATAAATCGATTGACCGAGTTCTCATCCGAGGCCCAGGCTTCAATCAATTCTCGGCCTGTTTTGTTTCCGGCGTGGGCGACTATTTTGGTGGCAGCGAAGTCAAACTCGTGACCCATTTCGTAGGTGTGGGCGGCCACTTGTGACAATGCGTCGCCTCGCCGCACAGCCAGCTTATGTTCATGTATGCGCGATCCGAGCATGCGTCCAGTCTGTCCTGTGTAATTACAAGGACAATTTTGACACGGAATGCGATACACTACTCCAGATTGCTCTTCAGGTTTTAACCGGTCTTTGATCTTCATGACCCTGTTGCGCATGGTGGCTTTGGGGCGGTGTGCGATTCCAACCCCTAGATCCGCAGCAATGCGCTCGGTCGCTTCTGAAACACCCTTGATGTATGGCAGAGCATGCCATATCGTCGGTGGCGTTGATGTTTGAGTTCTCTGGTGGCGACCGCGTAGGCAGCGACTTATGAATGCCCTCGGATAGCCATTTTGCACAAACTGGTCGCGGAGATAACGGGCCTCACGCGCTCTGTCTTCCAGTTTGCTGCAATGAGTTTGGATCCGTTTGAAGAGCGTCTTCACACAGCTTCGTTTGTGAGCCACCGGATGGTTGCTGTGAAAACTGAGAAGCTGTGTGGTGTTCGTTGTCTTCCTATAAACCGTCGTTTCAAGTTCACCGTTGAGGTTTCGTCTGACGAGCACATCCAGGAAGGGCAACTGCTGCTCCTGTTCTTCTTCTCTCGTGAATTTTATATCCGGGAAGACTGCGTTGAGCAGGCTGTGAAAATGTTGCAGCATGTCCTTCTTTACGATGACGAACGTGTCGTCAACGTAACGTCGCCAAAACACCGGTTCATGCTGGAGGAAGGCAATCTTTTCCAACTCCTGTAGGACCAGTTCTGCCACCAAACCGGAGACCGGTGAGCCCATAGGGGTTCCCTTGATTTGTTCATAGGTCTCTCCCGCAAAAGTGAAGAAAGTTTGTTGGCAGAATTCAAACAGCCTCATGAGGTGTTCAATTTTGAGGGCATTCTGAGTCTCATCGTACGCCTCTTCAAGTCTCTTGCGCAAGACTTCGCGGGCCACGTTTGGTGGGATAGATGTGAACAGCGACGTCACATCGAAGGAGACCATGATTTCGTCCGATTGAATTCTCCGACCTCGGAGGTCTATGAGGAATTGAGAGGCTGATCGAACTGAGGTAGTCGAATTGCCTTGGAGGAACTTCAGTTTTGAGTACATCCACTTTGCCAAGTTGTAGGTGGGGCTGCCTTTGAGGGCAAAGATTGGCCGAAGTGGGACATTTGCTTTATGGATTTTTGGCAGACCATAGAATCGGGCTAGAGCGGTGTCAGTTGCCCTCATTTGGTGCCATTCATTCTTCGTGATCACATTTTTATGTCGGTATTCTCTAAGCAGTTTACTCAGCCGATCTGCCACTGCTTTGGCTTGTGACTTCTGTGCTGGTCTGTAAAATTCTCTGTCATCAAGAAGGGCTTTAGCTTTTTCATTATAGTCTTCTCTATTTATCACGACGGTTGATCGTCCCTTGTCAGCAGGTAGAATGGTAATGCTGTCGTCCCTCCTCAGTTCTCTCATAGCCTTTGACTCACTCTGTGAAATACATTTGGTTGGTCTGTGTGTCATCAGCAAAGAGGTAGCACGCTGTCGGACGGAGTGTTTCATGTCGTCGGATGTTCCACTTCTCACAAGCATGTCTTCCAGGGCTGCAATGAAGTCGACAGGATCGGCATCTACAGTGTTGAAACACGTTTCATGCTGCAACACTCGTAGTTGCTGCTCTGTTAGCTGCTTAGACGAGAGGTTGTGGACCAAGTTTGAGCTTTCTGTGCCTGGTGGTTTTAGCTTAGTCAGTTTCCGTTCCAAAACTTCTCTCTTCTTGGCTTGCCTGTGGTGTGCCAGAGCAGAGATCGTCTTCCCAAGATCTGCGGCGATAGAATCGCCGAGAGTGTGGACACACTGCCTTCTGTTCTCCTCGATCTCAGCCTTGTACTTCTGCAAACGCCGGTGACAGTCGTCGATCAGAACTCTTGTCATCTGTTTGACAAACCGCCTCACAACTTCTCTTCCCATGGCCGTATTAACTGGAGCTTTATATCTCAGGCATCGTGGGGTTAGCTCGTCTTGGAGACATCGGTGCAGAAAACGTAGCTGCTCGTATGTTGCTGCTTCTCGTGTAGAGAATAATTCCCAGCTGCGAGCTGTCCGAGGCGCATCGCGCCCGAATGTTTCACGAATGAAGGCGAAATTTCGAGTTCCAGGTGTATACATATTTGAAGAAGAAGAAGAAGAAGAACAGTCGAGCACCGGAACAATTCGTTTATTATCCTGAGCTTTCAGACTCGTACAGGAGTCCATCGTCAGAGGTAGTGGCAGAAACAGGACAAGCGGCAGTTATAAGGCACGTAGACCCAATCATCGACCGACGTCACACGACTGGAGGTGACTACGAAGGGCTCTGTACGCCGGCGCCAGATCGATAAATCGATTGACCGAGTTCTCATCCGAGGCCCAGGCTTCAATCAATTCTCGGCCTGTTTTGTTTCCGGCGTGGGCGACTATTTTGGTGGCAGCGAAGTCAAACTCGTGACCCATTTCGTAGGTGTGGGCGGCCACTTGTGACAATGCGTCGCCTCGCCGCACAGCCAGCTTATGTTCATGTATGCGCGATCCGAGCATGCGTCCAGTCTGTCCTGTGTAATTACAAGGACAATTTTGACACGGAATGCGATACACTACTCCAGATTGCTCTTCAGGTTTTAACCGGTCTTTGATCTTCATGACCCTGTTGCGCATGGTGGCTTTGGGGCGGTGTGCGATTCCAACCCCTAGCTCCGCAGCAATGCGCTCGGTCGCTTCTGAAACACCCTTGATGTATGGCAGAGCATGCCATATCGTCGGTGGCGTTGATGTTTGAGTTCTCTGGTGGCGACCGCGTAGGCAGCGACTTATGAATGCCCTCGGATAGCCATTTTGCACAAACTGGTCGCGGAGATAACGGGCCTCACGCGCTCTGTCTTCCAGTTTGCTGCAATGAGTTTGGATCCGTTTGAAGAACGAATTGTTCCGGTGCTCGACTGTTCTTCTTCTTCTTCAAATATGTATACACCTGGAACTCGAAATTTCGCCTTCATATGTAGATATGTCTGATCATACAGCATTGTGAATAGAAACGAAAACACGAGTCCCAGAAAGCAGTCTTGAAGAAGAAGACACGATCGCCGAGACAAGAGCTTTATTAGCCTGACGTTTCGGATTCCTGCTTGAATCCATCATCAGAGACAAACGCAGATAAGGGTGGTTCACGCATATGCAGCTGCAGTATTTACAGGATGCAGTAGCCATGCTACCGCATACCTATGAATAATCTTGGCTCCCTCCCCCCCCCTTCATCAGGGATCGTTGCACGTGGCGTGATGGCCGACATTCGCGTCGTTAATTGCTGCAATTTCACCAAATGCGTTGGATGTTGGTGTGATGATTGCTCGACTATCTGATGCGCTGACCCGGGTGTTGGGAAGAGTTTTCATCTGTGCGCTCCCCGCGTGGCCAATTACTTCGCCTAGGGGAAGTCTCAGCACGAAGTATTGAATGGGAAGATCATTGCACCTGTTAATACAGCATTGTACCTGTCCGTTTACCACTGTTCCTCATGAAATGTGCTACACAGTCGGTATCCATTGTAAACTTTTATGAACTCAATATGCCATCTTCTTAAAAGCATGGAAAAATATAATATTTTCCGTACGCGGAAGGCATGCAGCTTGTAGAATGAAATCACTAGGCGCTAATGCTACAGCTGATCAGGTCCCAAATTATTTGGGAATCAGAAAAAAATTTTTAAACCTAATAATAATCTTTCTTTGAAAAAAATTGTGAAAATGACGTGATCGTCTATCGAACGAGTGTAAAAAGTATATTTTCGCCCATGTTTTTCATAAACTATATTTTAAGTTTATAAGACCATCTAAAATCGGCGTGAAAATGCATGTTACTTAAGTCGTCATTTTTTTACAGAGCAAGGTTTCTATGGGAGATTGAAAAGAAGTGCGTTAAAAAAACCAGCATCCTGGACACCTCCAAATGTTATGGAATTATGCCGCAAGGTAATCAGTATTACAACCCCACATAAATAATCCTTCCTGGCCGAAAACGCATTTCAGAATGTTGGCCAACATTTCATGAGATCGATCACGCACTGCATGTGGCTCCACCTGATAAAAACCAATAGTGATAGATGCGAACAGGCGAGTTCCAGTTAGTAGTTCGGGCGATGAAGATGCGACCACTAGAACAAGACAGTTAGTGGAATGACCTTTCGGATTCTCACTCGAAACCATCACCAGAGACAGTCGCAGATAAGGGTAATGGCGGCACAAGGAGTGCAGTATTTATGGCGCGTGGCTGCCGTGGGACCACATGCGCACTGTAACTTACAGCTCCCGCAATCACCGCGGGGTCGTAGTTGTTGCGATGATAGCCTTTCAGTCCGCGTCCGAGTCGTTAATTGCCGTGTTGGATGCTGGTGTGTGGATTGCTCGGCAAACTAGCTCACTGTCACTGGGTTAATTTGTTGCCCGCGCCCTACCCCCGTGACTGATTCGCCTTTCCAGGAAAATCTCATCACGGAATATGGTAACGAGAGGTCATTGCGCTTGTTGATGGATTGTAGGCCTGAGAATCCCGACTCGAGCAGCTCGCGGCTCACGTGGTTGTCACTCCTTGCGAGGATTTCGGCCTCTTGAAACTTTAAAATATTGTGGGGTCCCGTCGAATGAGCCGCCACCTGAGAGTTACGTCTCCCCGCCTCCCTGCTGCTGTGTGCTCGGCAATTCGCGTACGGAGTAATCTCCCAGTTTCTCCGACGTAGTTGCTTTGTCCTTTAACTGCACCCGATCTGGTAAACGGCTTCAGACGTTTCCTTCGTAGCAGTGGGTCTTTCGGCCGCATGAATTGACGCCTGATGGTTGCTTCCGGCTTGTGTGCGACCCAAACTCCAAGTGGAGTGAGAAGACGACTGACAGCTTCCGAGACCTTCTTCACGCACGGAAGAGCCCGCCAAAATTTGGGTCCCGTTGAATTTGGTCTATGGTGTCGTCTTCATGTGCACTGGTTGACAAAGTTGCGCGAGTAGCCATTGGCTCTCAGCACCCGTCGAAGATATTGTATTTCAGCAACCTAGTCTACCATTTCACTGCAGTGCGTCTCAACGCGCCCGTATAGCGCCCTTACGCAACTGCCTTTGTGACTGATCGGGTCGTTACTGTTAAAGCTCGGCTTTTGCGTCGTATTTGCCGCTTTCCTGAACATTTTGGTTTTTAGGCCACCACAAGCTTTGCGGCAGACGAGGACATCCAGGAAGGCCAGCTGGTTGTTTTCCTCCTCCTCCTCCTCCTCCTCCTCCTCCTCCTCATCCTCATCCTCATCCTCATCCTCATCCTCCTCCTCCTCCATTGTAAATTAAATGTCCTGGAAGATGGCGTTGAAATGTTCTTTGAATGTCATCCACATACCGAACCCAGAATTTTGGTCTGTGTTTTTGGAAAACCAGCGACTACAGCCGTTGTAGGACCGCCCCGGCTATGCGTCCCGAAATCAGCGAACCCATTGGCGTACGCAAATGCAGACCAGCAGGTCATGCTCAGAGTACCAGTTACCGCGCATGTCTCCCTGGTGTTTATATTTAGCTCGAAGATGCATTAATAGACTTCATCTGTGATGCCATCGTCCATCCGTGCGCCTCTCGAGGGGATGTCAAAACTTATTCCGGTAACTCAACTTGAGCTATTTTATTTGTTGTCGATTTTCAGCAGTAAAATTGGTCCTCGCTCTACCGTGTCCATCGCAGGAGGGCTACGGTTTCCTGATAGCCAAAGGACATGGGCAAGTCGCAGGTCGTCAGGAAGTCTGGATTTAAAGATGGGCACCTGCTTTCGACGCTGCGGCGTTGGGAGATGACGGGGGGAAATCCGCCAAGACACCGCTGTGATCTGTGACCTTTTTATTGGTAATTGACACGACAGATCGGTGCACCCAGCCGCGCTTTAGGTCACTGCTGCCGCATAATTTAGGGTGGCTTACTGGTCGAACAAAAAAAACCTCCTCTGTAGACCACCTGTGGTCACATCGGACGACCCATCACCTTACTGACCGACAGGTCCCGTTTTCTCCGATTGACTGAGTGTGTAATTTCAACTAAAATACAGTGAGTGACCGATCTCATGAAATTTTGGCTGAAAGTCTGAAATGCATTTTCGATTAGGGAGAAGTACTCAGGCGCGGTTGTGATACTGATCATCTTGCGAGATAATCCTATAATATTTTCGATTTGGCGGAATGTCAGCTTTTTAATACACTGCTTTTCAAACTCCTGTAGAAGCCGAACTCGGTAAAAAATGCCTACTTAAACACCATGCCTTTTTACACTGATTTTCAATGGTCTTGCAAAGTCAAGTATTTTTTATAGAAACAGCAAACGTTAATATGCTTTTTTAAGACATTTAATAGAGAATTACGTCTTCTTTATATTTTATACTCGAAAAGGAGTATAATAAGGTTTTAGGGTTTCCAATTATTAGATTTTTAAAGGTCGCGCATTATCCATTTATATAGCTTCGTACCTGTCAGTTTACCACTACTCCTCATGAAATGTACAACATAGTCCGCATCCATTGCAAAATTGCATAGACTATATGATATCTTTTTAAAGTCATAGGAGAATATGCGATTTTCTTTACGCGGAGCGCATGCACCTTGTAGACTGAAATCCCTAAGCGCTAATGCAACGACTGATCAGGCTCCAAATTGTTCGGTAATTGGAAAAGTTTTTAAAGCCTAATTATACTCCTTCTTCTAGTATAAAATATAGAGAAAACGTGATTCTCTATTAATTGACTGAAAAAAGCATATTTTTGTTTACGTTTTCTATAAGATATATTTTAATTTGCAAGACCATCAAAAATACATGTGAAAAATGCATGCTACTTAGGTATTCACTTGTTTCCGAGTACGGTTTCTACGGTAGTTTGAAACGCAGTGTATTCAAAAGCTGACATCCTGCCAAGTCTGAAATATTATAGGACTATGTCGCAAGATAATCAGTATCACAACCGCGCCTGAGTACGCCTTCCTAATCGAAAACCAATTTCAGAATTTCAGCCAACATTTCATGAGATCGGTCACTCACTGTAGGTCGAGACCTTTGTCGTTATTCTAGTTATAATCCACCTTTTTGGTTTAACTCAATTACAGGGCGCAACTTTGCCGAACAGTCAAGTTGACTTTTTGCTATAGATTATAGAATGCAGTGGGTGAGAGACGCCCTTCAAATTACGCAGCTCTCCCTTTCAGGCGATTTTGGAAAGACCGATATAAACCACCTCTCAAATTACACAGCTTGTAAAAATTATCATAAATCATGAAATTCCGTTTGACGAGAAGGATGGTTAATGATCGAAACCCAAATATTGTTTGCCCAACACATTAGGTTCACTCTGGAATCCATCACCAGAGATGACAAGGGATGGCGATGCCGGATACATTCACGCATTCATCGCAGCAGTTCGTACTACGTACAATGCTGGCCTTACGGCAGGCAGGCAGCCAGCTCGTCAATTGCTGCGATTATATCACCAGTGTCGGTGATACCATTCTGCCTATATCATGCGCCGCTGCGCGGCTGCTGGTTGGGCTCGAAAGAGAGCCCCAAGGCACAACGGGATGAGTAAGTTCCGATCGGTGAGCGCCCCGCTCTACCATTGTATATTTCCGATCGCGACCGACAGAACAACGAGCCCGTTGCTCAGTGGCTCAGTGCTTTCGACTTCTAACTAACAGGTTGCGGGATGGAGCTTCAGGTTCTCCACACTTCGGGGCTGGGTATGACTGGCTGGCGACGTCTAATAAGCCAGAAATGGCCATTCCAGTCTCACTTTTCTTTGTCGGTAATACCATCCCCAGTGTTGGTGGCTGGTGTGACGATCACTCGGTAGTTTAGCCCGCTAGCAATTTCACTGGGATCCAGATGCACATCCATGTTCCCCGTATACTAACAGTTCGGGTTCATGCGATTTGGTTCCTCAGCTTGTCCTTGAATTCGGAGTTAGTGGATTTAAACAGGCTGTCACTCGCTGAGCGTTCCCTCCTCCAACCTCGAATGTGTCGTAATTTGGCAATCTTCCAGTGCGTCTCCAAACGCTCATAGTGTACCTCCGCACGACTGATTTTGTGGCTGACTGAATGTTTTCTGCCGAAGGTCAGTACTCATGCAATTTTCGTCGCGAACATAAGTATTTTGGTGTTTGGCAAATCCTCACGGCAAAGTGGACATCAAAGAAGGCCAGAAGATCGTTATCATCCTCCTCCTACTTCTCCATCGTAAGTTGTATTTCAAGAAAGAGTCAATTATGATGTTCTCTGAATGTCAGCACCCGGTCTTCTTCTACGATAACAAAGGTATCGACCACCGATTGAGTGCAGAATTCTAGCAAATAACCATGGAAGACCAATGACTTCAACCATCCTAGTACCATCGCCGTTAGGGGGTCAGAAACCGGTGAATCTGGTGGTTATTAAGCACGCAAGGACAAGACAAGGGACTAGAGCGCAGTTATCAATAAAAGTCTGCGGGCGCTTCGGTTGGTCAAGAACCTTTCTGAAGCCGTTAAAATCCTGATCCAGGCACTCGGATACGCGGTTACGTGCAGACTGCAGGCACTAGGGAATGAGACGGAAATACAAACTGTCACGCAGAAGAACGTCCCAGCAGAATTGGTGCATGAATTTTGCCTGAAATCCTCTCAGCAGAACAGGAATTTCGCGCTTGACTCGCATAACCGAACACGCATCCGAATTGCGGAGGGAATGATGTCACTTGTCAAGCCGCATCTTGCCCCGTTTACGGCTCATTGGCAGCAGCCCCCCAGCAGACGCAATATCAGTTTCCTCCAAATTGCGTGCAAAATAAACAGGTACGCGGGGAATGCACGCGTAAACACTGTTTCCTAGCCTCAGTACCACGGATCGAAATGAGTGAGTAATTATCACGCTGATGACATCTCGGATGATGGCGGCCAAAAACACTTTCTTACGGGCCACACGAAAGATGCTCTGGACCAAGACAGGAGAAGGAGATTAGGCCAGGGTGAGTGTTAACCTAGCTGCACGAAGTCCGTACATTGCAACACAAGTGCCACACATGGAGGAGTATGCTGGCATGCCAAGACACAAGTTAACATCGCGGCAGATGTCTGCGACCAGCAACAAACGGCTGGCTGGCTGGCTAATACAGCAGACCGGTGTATGCCAGGGAAGAGAACGATAGAGCTCTACTTGGAGGCTCAGTCGCCATAGTACTTTCAGCACATTTCTTGATAAAAAATGAAGACAGACGTGTCTTTTAACTGACACGAGGAGCTTAAAGTCGTGGCTTGGAGGGCAGCCGATTGAGAAAATAAATCCGCCCTCTCAGCATGGAGATTCAGGCTACAATGGATCCTTCCTAAGGTGACCTCTAAGTCACCCCTTCCACCCGTATGAGATCCGAGTCGCCTGCCTTTTCTACGAAAACCTGGTCCGTCGAGTGGGCTAGGCACATGTGGTACGCGTAGTCAAACAGCGCGTCCGGTTCTTCCTCCGAGTTCCGGCCAAGTTGAGGGAAGAAGAGTATGACAGGTTCTAAATAAATGTGTTAGTATTATTAAATAAACCATACACAAATCACCGGTCTGTGCCCACCACGTCTTCGGGTACATGCTGGACATCGTCATTCATGACGGTCTAGTAGATCGCATTTACAATAGGTGGGCTAACTCATGAAATGTCAACCGAAATTCCAGAATGCGTTCTCGTTTCGAAAAAATTAATTAAGTAGAGTTGTAAAACTAGTCAGCCTGCAACATAATTCTATAATATTACAGTTACCTCAGGATGCCGGCTTTCGAATGGACTTCCTTCCGGCTGCATGCAAATACAACACTCTTTAAAAACTGACTACCAAAGTAGCATGCATTCCTCCCCTGCATTTTCGAAGCCCTTGGTAATCCTTTTATATTTCATGACAAACATGCATAAAATATTCGTTCTTTTGCAATCACGTCTTCTTCCAACCTTATACTCAATGGAACGGTGTCATTTGTTTTTCAAAACTTTTCCAATTCCTGAATAATTTTAAACCCGTTACACTTGAATTCAGGGTTTCCAAACCCCAAGCCGTTTATTTTCCGCGTACTGAAAACCATAACTTTCACTACGGTATTTAGAGGAGACCATATACGGTTCATAAAATTAAGCAGTGGATTTGCGCCACATTGATAACTTTACAATTCACATTGGTAACTGCAGAGACATGACGATTTGTGAACGGCCACTTCTCGGTATTTAAAAGTCCCACAATTAGAAACTTTTATAAAACCTAATTATAACCCTCCTCCGAGCATAAAATTAAAAGGAGACGT